TCCCCTGGTACTGGGGTTACAGACAGTTGTTAGCAGATATGTGGGTGCTGGAAACCCAACTTGGGTCCTCTGTAAGAGCACTCTTCTTAATCCTGAGCCATCTCTTCAGTCCCTTTGATATATTTCTTTACCTGAGGGATGATTACATGGGCATGTTTACTTCTTAAAAGTTCATCAAATTGTATCATTATGTTAATTGCATTTTCTTTTGTGTTATTTTCAATTACATATATATATTTTAATTTAAAAAGATTGATATCTACAATGTGCAGTGTGGTGGTAAACTCGAGGTTAAAAAGATCCTGGGTGTGATGGCTCACACCTGTAATCCAAGTACTCAGGAAGCTGACACATGAGGATTGTCTTGAGTTCAGTGTTATCATGGACCACAGTGTCAGGCTGTGTCTCAACATCCATCTACTCCTCCAAAAGAAAGAGTGGAAATCAGGCAGAGGAATGGAAGAATTCTGGGATATCAGAGAGTAGAACCTTTGAAGTCAGATGATCTGCATTTATATCACTTGATGTTCCTAGCCTTTGGAAAAGCCATATTTGAGTACTCTCTGAATAGTGCTATGCTGTTTTAAAAAAGCCTAATCTGGCCTGATTTGGGGCCAGTAAGACAGTTTAGTGGGTAAAGGTATTTGCCATGAAGCTTGACGACCTAAGTTTGTTCCCTGGAACCCACAGGGTAGGAGAGAACTGATTCTTGCAACTTGTCCTATGACCCCCTCCTCACCTGTGTGCCTACCTACACACCCCAACACCCCTGCCACAGAATAAATAACTAAATAATAAATAAATGTAAAGAAGGAGGAAGAAGAGAAGGAAGAGAAGGAGAAGGAGGAAAAGGAGGCTTGATTTGTGAGTATCAGAGCTAGAGTATTACAGACTGTTAATTTGCTTGAGGCTAGCATGTTTGCTGACATAGCTCAAGAGATTAAGATAAATCTTCTAAACAAGGTCCACATGATCCACACTCCCTCATGTCAATCATTTTTAATTATTAATTTTTTATGTGTATGAATGTTTTGCTTGCATGTATATAAGCACACCAGTATATGCAATGCCCAAGAGGCCAGAAGAGGGCATTGGATCCCTTGGAACTGGAGTTATGGATGGTTGTTAGCCACCATGTGGGTGCTGGGAACAGGTCCTCTGGAAGAGAGCCAGTACCCTTAACTGCTGAATGATGGTTCAGCACCATCGAGGGTTCTCTAGCACCCTCACCCATGTCAATCTTAAATACCATATTTCCCAGCTTCTATTGTAGGTATGGCCATGTGACCAAGTTCTAGCCAACAGAACTAATGGAAGTGCTCTGTACCACTCACAGACTTGGTTTGGCAAACTCTCACTTCTGTGTCCCTTCATTGTATTTGTTAGCTCATTGTTTTTTAAAATCCTCTATCTGAGCCAGGCGTGGTGGCACACACACATTTAGTCCCAGCACTCGGGAGGCAGAGGTGGGCAGATCTCTGGGAGTTCAAAGGCCAGCCTAGTCTACATTGTGAGTTCCAGGCCAGCTGGGGCTACAGGGAGATCCTGTTTCAAAAAAAAAAAAAAAAAACCCTCTATCTGGTCAGGCATGGTGGCACAGGCCTTTAAATCCTAGGCAGAGACTGGTAGGTTTCTGTGAGTTTGAGGCCAGCCTGGTCTATATATTGAGTTCCAGGTCAGTCAGAGCTACATAGCAAGACCCTGTCTCAAAAAAATATAAAATAAGTAAATAATTTTTTTCTCTATCTGGAAGGAATAGTGATAAACTTCAGGGTGATCTTTGGAAGTGTGCGCTGACGATAATAGGGCATTGTAAGCTTGTTCCCTGAGAAGCTTCATGAAGAGGCATCCTTTTTCTCCCAGGCCTAGTCTGCCACTGCACTGGACTACTGCATAGTTGGTACAAGGACTTAAATTTTTGAACTTTTTTGTCATGAAGCTGGCATTTCCTCAAATAATATAGTAACGATAGCCCAAATTCTTTACAGTTTTTGAGTTTTTATTGATTGTTAGTCCATAGCAGTATAATAGCCTTTGGTTCAACATTTACCTATCATGGGTTATAACTAATATTGTTTGTTTTTGATGGGATCTCATGTAGCCCAGGCTAGTCTAAAACTCACTATGTAGCCAAAGATGACCTTGAACTCCTGATCATCCTTCCTCTACCCCTAAGTGCTGGGATAGGTGTGCACCACCATGCCTGGCTCATGAGTATATTATTAGCATAGCTTATATTTGGAATTTTTTGGTATATTGATTAAGTTACTTTTTGTCATGCTGAAGAGCCTTTCTTACTTTTGTTTTCTGAACACACAATTTTTTTCTATGAATTTTTTGCTTACTATTTGATAACTTGAAAGAATCTAGCGATATCTGTTATGTTGTTTGATTTCTAATTCACTGTCTCCCTAGCTTCAGCTTTGTTTCCATAACTTATTGCAATTTCCACTGAGACTCTTTTCACAAAAGCTAACAGTAGGCTGGGGATGTAGCTCAGTTGGTAGAAGTCTGCCTACTTTGCAAAAATCCCTGGGTTCATTCCTCAACACTGCATAAAACTGAGCACGGTGGTACCTGCCTGTCATCCAAGCACTCTGGAGGTAGAAGCAGAACAATCAGAAGTTCAAAGTCACCATTAACTACACGGTGAATTCCGGGCCAGCCTGGGCTACACAATACCTTACATATAAAAAAGCCAATGGTATTGTTTTAGGTCCCTTCCACCATCTACCTCTGAAAAATTTAATATTCACTCTTGAAAACTTGGATTTTGTTTGTTTGCTTTTTTATTTATTTTATTTTATTATTTTATGCTGTTATTTTATTTTAGTATCAGATTTCCTGATCCTCTGCTTCCAGTTCCCAAGTGCTGGGATTATAGACTTGTGCCACTATGTCTGACTCACTTCTGAAAATATGTTCACTTTGGAACATAAATGCTTCTAGTTCTCCTTTTGCCTCTCTGTCAGTTTCCTTCTGGTTTTCTTAATGGGTTTTCCATTTCTTTGCCTTCCTCTACAAATCTTGGGGTTCCTAGATGTTTTGTTTCAGCCCAGTTTCTCCTCCTTCTAGGGAATAGTGTCCATACTTACTGTTGTAATGGGACGATCTTTTCAATATCTCTCTCCAACCGTGACCTGACACCAGCTTAGGACCCTTTATCATGGTCACATGGATGATTCACAGTCATTTCAATCTAAATGCAATACTAATCATCATACCCCCCCAACACTAACTTGCTTTTTTGGTTGCTGGTTAAAGATTCACATAGAGATGAAAAGCCTCTTCTCTGGATCCTGCTAATTCCTATCAGTCACTATGTCCTGATTTTACCTCCAAATATTTCAGTAGCTTTGCCACGAGCTGAATTTTATTTCCTGAAACTTATACACTGAAATTCTATCCCTCCCCAAACCTTGAAATGTAACCTCGTTTGATGATGGAGTTGTTGCACAGCTAATGAGTTATGATGAGGTCATTCTGGAGTAGGGCGGACCCACTTCCACATATATCCTTGTAAAATGGGGAAATCTAGACACAGTTACACAAACAGGAAAATGTCTCCTGAAGGCTGGAATTTTGCTGCCACAAGCCAAAGAGCTACCAGAAGCTAGAAGAGAGGCCCAGGATAGATCTGTCCTCAGTGCTTTCAGAGGGAGCATGGTACCATCAGGGTCTCCATCTCCAACTTCTGGCTTTTAGAACTGTGAGTCAGTAAGTTTCTGCTCTCTAACTCACCCAGTTTATGGTACTTTGTTACAGCAGCTTTGAAAAATTAAATCAAGCTTCCATTTTCATCCTATTTGCTTGTTTCCCCTACAATGCCTTATTGTAGACCAAGAGAGCGATCTCAAAGGTACATCTTATCCTGTCAGTTCCCAAACTAAAAATAATTCAATTTTCTTTCCCCATCTGGCCTGGAACTTGCTTATTTAGACCAGGCTGGCCTCGAACTCATAGAGATCCACCTGCCTCTGCCTCCCAAGTGCTAGGATTAAGGGTGTTCATCACCATGGCCAGGTCTCCCCATCCATCATTTACAGACTATGTTTACAAGGCTTTTGCCTGACAATTCATACCTTCCTCTCCAGCAATGCTGAGATTCTGAGCTCTGCCTAAACATATGAGACTATTTCAAGCCACTGACCTTTGTCTATTTCCCCAACAATAATGCCTACTCATGCTCCTACCTATTTTTCCTTGCCCTTTAAAATTCAGTGTAGACATTCCTTCTATCAGGGAACACCCCTAGGTTCTCCCCCACCGGCATCCTGCTCCAACAGCTTCCTGGATAAGAGCAGGAGACGTTTCTCTGATTCTTGTGTATTATTTACATATCTGACTCATAACAATTTCTTCATTTTGTTAAAATGATCTATGCATCTTCTTGCTTCACTAAGTTGTGCATTCCTGAGCTCATTGTTTGTATGTACACATAAATACATCTACAGTATTTAAAATAAGATGATTCTCCATGGAGTTGCTAGTGGGAGCTACAAGAGGTAGGTGTCTACAGCTTGGAGTGATTTGTGGGTAGTTTGGGATTACTATCTTAAACCAGTATTTCTGAAGTTTCTTTCATTTTTCAAGCACTTTACACTCAGAGAAGACAGAGTGGAGGTTTGGGGAGGCACAAAAGTAAGAACTTCTCTCTCCCTACTCACAAGGCTCACCATAATCCCTTGAGAAGAATGCTGGGCCAGCCCACGCCAACAAGTCATCCCATAAGAAGTGGCACATTGCCCTTCATCTAATGTACTGAATGCCGTGGTAGCTTTAAAGTCATGCAGCCTTTGGGGGAGGGGGCCAGGGGCAAGGCGGGAGGCGCTTGGAATGAAGAGATATATTCAACACTGATGCCTGAATTCACTGAGATGCTTCCCACGGACACTGAGCTCTCTCCCCTCCTCCAGCCCTGAAGGCATTCAAGCCGTGCTCTCCCCCTCCTTCCCTTGAAAGCCCTAAGTTCTTTTCTCCAGACCCTTCTGGTCTCCTACCTGGCAGGATGAGAAGCAGGTAGACAAAAGGAGCCAGGCGCAGGCCCCTGGAGGCTCTGGACAGGGTTCCCTTTTCTCTCTTCATTTTGGGTGGCGTTCTCCAGCTCTGGTGCAGACAATTAGCATGATTTCTCCACTCTGGGCACGTCCCTTTGTACCACTCAGAGTTTCTCTGCCCAGGCACAACTCTGCCAACTTCCCTCTGAATACACAGAGCTCTGTGTGCTGCTGGGCTTGTTCTTTTCTCTCGCTCAGACCTCGCATTTTCTAGCTTCCAAGCCCTTCATTCCCAGTTTGGACAGGGGTATCTGCTTAGGAGATAACCTCCAATGCAGGTCCAATGAGGGGGGCGGGCAGCTCTGGGGGTCCAGAGGTTCTCGGCTTGTCTGTGGTGAGGCCCACTCCCAGGGCAGATGAGGATCTGGGCTCAGTAAGGGCAGTGGACTGGGACACACTCAACTGGACTTTGTGTCCCAACCTAGAAGGCTCCACCTCACACTCCTCCTTTCTGAGAAGGGTCCGTTTCAGCACAGATTTCTAATAAGGGAGAAAGTGAGGAGCTTTTGGAAATCTTCTGGAAATGAGAGACTCCAAAGAATTGCTTAAGGAATGGAACCCCGTTTTGCCCCACAGGAAGATTGGAAAAGGGCTTGAATTCTAATACTTCCACACCTGTTCTACTTGGGAACTCTCCTATCACAGACTCACATAGATGGTGAGAACTACTTTCCAGAAGCAATTGTTCATTCCCCTGCTTCCAGCCAATGTTCTAGAATATGTCAGAGCAAAGAGAAAGGTAATGCTCCAACAGCCAGCATCTTGGGGTTGTGTTACCAGGGAAACAACCTAGTGTGTCCTCGTCTCAAGGCTGTACCCTCACCCCACTTATGATTATACATTCTCACAAGATGCTTAGTTGCTATGTGATAATGGGATAGTCTCATAATCTCTTTGAGCCTTTGGTTTCACCTTGTAAAATGGGGAAAACAATAGCTTTCTTGGAGGATTGCTGGGAGGTTTGGTGAAGATTTGATATAGGAGATTGCCTAGCAAATTCTTTGTTAACAAAGGAGATGACATTTAAGAGTGGGTGTAGTGGCACATACCTGTAATCTCAGCACTAAGGAGGAAGAGACTGGAAGATTGTGAGTTCAAGGTCAGCCTGAGCTATACAGTGAGATCTTGTTTGAAAAAACAGAACTGCCAGGTGTAGTGCATATACCTGTAATCCCAGCACTTGGAAGGTTGTGGCAGGAAAATTACTGTAAATTTGAGACAAATCTGGGCTATATAGAGAGCTCCAGGTCAGTCTGGGCTATAGTATAAAACTCTGTCTCAACAAAACAAACAGAATAACAAACAAACAGTATAAAACTCTGTCTCAACAGAACAGAACAACAGAACAACAGAACAGAACAGAACAGAACAGAACAGAACAGAACAGAACAGGAGAACAGAACAGGAACCCCAAACCAACAATCAAACAAGACAAGACACCTGTTTGCCTTTGGAAAACTATTATTACAGCAGGTATGCAAAGCATAAGGAAAAGCCAACTTTTAGCTTTTGAAATTTAAAATTATATTCTAGAGCTGGTAAGAAGATGCAAGTTTAAAAGCTAGTCTTTGGAAAGGCCAAAAGAGCATTATAATTTCTTTTATCTGCCCCTCTGAAATATCATGGACTAGCCCATAGACCAGATCACAGAATTCTTCTAGAGTGGAGAAGAACCACTTTTGTTTGTGATAGCTTAAGATTTACTGGCTTGGGGTAAAAGGAGGACGTGATGTTCAGAAAACAGAAAGCCTGATGTCTGTGTTCATCTGAAAAACTGTGGAAAATAAACTGTAATAGAGACCCAAAGGGGTCAAAGTTCTCAATACTCCATTTTTCTTACCCTATGGGTGAGGTTTAGACTCCTCATACTGTACACAATTTGCAAGTACCCCCATATTCGAAAACCCTTGGAAGACTCAGGTGCTAAGAGGGTAAAGAGCTGGCAGAAGCAGTGGGGGTGGGGGCAAGGCACCACTGTGTGTAGGAATTCTGGTGCCTAAGGAGATGACTGGGACAAACTACTGAGGCAGGAGCCAGAATGTAGCTTTTCAGACCAGGGAATTAAAAATAACACCTAGAGATACCAATACTGTCTGCCTCTTGCTGTGTCACCTCAGTCAGACCACCTACACTCATCCCAGTTCTTCCTACAGAGGAGCTGGGGTTAAGGGAGAAAATGAGAAAGATTGCTTGAGCAATTTCCTGTGCTGTCCAAGCAGAGATTGAGGTTCTGAGGGAGAACGTTAACAGGCTGCACTCAAGAGGAAAGATTGATGAGCTTTCCTATTACCTGGAAAGGCGGAGGCACAGTGGACGATCATAGCAATCACAAAGCATAAGGATACTGCTTGTCCTTTGACTGTCTAAGTGAGCAATGCAAAATTTTGCAATCCTTCTTTGGGTGGTTTTGAGATAAGCAGACCTGCAGAAGCTTATAATAATCAATTTATATGCTTTTCTCCCTGAATTAACAAAAGACTCTTTAATGAAAGAACTTGTGCTTAGGTCAGCTGTCCTGGCTCACCTTGTCACCCTTCTGTGCATACTCTGGGTTTTCCATCTGGGTGTGTTTGTCAAATTGTTTTGGGGGTGGGGTGGGGACAAGGTCTCATATAGTCCAGGCTGGCCTAAAGCTTGTTATATAGCAGAGAATGACCTTGAACTCTTGCCTCTACCTCCTGAGCACTAGGATTATAGGCCTGTGCCATCATGCCCAACTTAGTGGTGCTGGGGATCAAACCCAGAGCCTCATGGATGCTGAGAAAGCAGTCAGACAACTGAGACAACACTCCCAGACAGTGTCATCTAACTGTTGATAATGCTGCCTTTTTAAAAGAGGGATATCCTAATTGTAAATACCATTTTTAAACATCAAATATATTTTATACTTGTTAGTCTTACATATCAAATTCTTAGATCAGGGAGTGCCATGAATTCGGCCATTTCTACCTCAGCCTCTGAGGTTCTCTCAGATAGGGATTGTAACTCTTCATTCCCCTGGGTCTCTCTGAGCGGTGTAATTGTGAGCTTTGTCTAATGTGGCTGCTCCAACAATGGGGAAAACTGTCAGTGTAACTGATGTCAGCAAGACCCTGCTTAGCCAAAGCTCCAGCCTCTGCTTCCCATGCGTTCTCCAATGGATTGCTTTCTGATGGCATTATCCACTTCTGAACAGAATGACTTGGCTCTCTTGGTGCCCCTACTGTACGCAGGACTCTCTTCACTTAACATCACCTTTGGAGCTCTGGGATCATGACTCCTTACCCCTATGCTCTGAACTGCCTAGGCCTGCTGTCCTCAGAGCTATGCAGTTAGTTCTAACAGAGACCTTGCAGTTCAGAACAGAAACCCCCACCCCACTATGCACATACCAGATGAAACGCAGAAGCATATGTCCTGGAACAGGAGGAAGGAGGAAGCTAACGGTTTTAATGGAGTTATCATCCTAAGTATGCCTCCTTAGGAATTAAAGAAAACAAATTGAAAAGCAGGGTGGGAGTTGTAATGAGCTCTGTCTTCCAAGAGCCGAAGGTCTTGTAGGAATGCTGGGAAGCTGCAGAGCAGTGAACTCACCCTGCAGCAAGATGTGTCTTTGTTCCACTTCTTCATTTCTCAGTGGAGGACACCAAGGGACAGATACGGTCACTAGTTTTTCCAGAGTTAAAGTGTTTTTGGCTGGCAGACCAAGACTTTTGAGTTACCACAAACAAAAATAGTAAAAGAAAATGGTTTGAGCTATAGCTCAATGCTAGAGCATTTGCCTAGCCTGTGTTGGGTCCTGGGTTCAATTCCCATACTGCAAAATAACAAAACTACCATAAGTGGTATAGTTTGCTGGATGTTCACCTGAAATCCTAGACTCAGGAGGCTGGGACAGGAGGATTACCGTGAGTTCAAGGCCAGCTTGGGCTCCATAGTGAGTTTCAGGCTAGCCAGGGCCACAGAATGAGACCCTAGGCTTAGATGTCAGAGTGTCCTCACCCACAGGCCTGTTCCTTGTCTCTGAGCACTGGGAAGGGTGATAATACTTCTAGGGGAGGTTTGGGAATTTTCCTTAGTGACTTATCACATGAGTGACAGTTTTACAGTACTATATAGCACTCTTCCTCATTCCCTTTCTGCTGTTATTTGAATCATATTTATAGTCTTCTTTACTAAATGCTAAATAATCTTTGGTAATAGAATAGATAAAAAACAACAAACTTCAAAAATTCCCCTGTGAAAGGAAATTTTCTCTAGCAAGAAGTGTGTGTGTGTGTGTGTGTGTGTGTATGTGTGTGTGTGTGTGTGTGTGTGTGTGTCTGTGTGTGTGTATGCCATGTGGAGGAGTGGGTAAGTCCTACTCCTAGGCATAGTCAAAAAATGAAAAGACAAACTACTTTGCATTAGCGATAAGCATGAATGGGGGGGCGGGTAAGAAAAGAATAGAGAGCTACTAAACTGCAGGTTAATCAGAGGAATCCAGATTGATCACCAATAGAACTTAGGCCTTTGTCCACACTAACTCCCTAATCCATGTAGGAAGCCCACCTCCTGTTTACTTGTTTGTTTGGTCCATCCTTTTACCACCAGCCCCTTTGACTGAACTCAGGATGTGAGGTGGCTTCTCTGCCCATGCCTTGTGCCCCCTCCCTGCTATTGTCCAAGGTATTATTGGTTTTGGTTTTGGTCCTTAAGCCTATATGCCACTTCTCAGTTCAGTTTGCTCTGATGGAGCAAGGGCTGGGAGGCAAAAAGCAGACAGTAGAGTTGTGCTGCATTGCCTGGGAAATGAGGATTTTGTGTGCAGCTTTGTGTTGTGAGGAGGCAGGGCTGGGCTTGACCAGCAATCTCTGAATAAGGGGCAGACTAGCTCCCTTTGGAGAAAAGCAAGCTTTTGAAGCTTGAACAGTGAGGAATGGCCCTCCCCAGGACCATCCCTACCCCCTTTTTCTTTCTAAAGTTTCCCTAGGTGGCTGTTCTCTGTGTGGCTTCTGAGAAACATTAAATAGAACGTGGAGATGGGGTCAGAAGGTATCTCCTCCCTTTCCCAGGTTCTTCACTCTGAACATGGCTTTGTTGCCTGGACATTTCTCTAAATATGAGGAGACACTCATAGGGAAAGGGTTCTGTAGAGATATATGTCTCTAAAAATCTCGGGATTTTTTACATGGAATACATGATCCTAGGAGTAGCCATGGGTCCTGGGTAAATTTTGAGGTGGTAGAGAGGAAAAATGAAAACACATCAAAGCCTTTTATGCTGAGAGTAAATATTTGATTTCTGAATAGAATTTCCACCCCCTCAGAAACCCAGAGGAACTCGGGCTTGTGGCCATGGTTGCTAAACGTGCCCTATTCAGCAGCTCTCCAGAGGAACAAACAGAAGAAGTTAATTGGCCTTAAAGACT